TTATTTATTAATATTTTATATATAATTTAAATGATATTATGCTTATTTATTTTTTAAATAGGAATAATTTATAATTTATTTTATTAATAAATTATAATATAAATATAAATATTTTATTTATAATTTAATTTTATTATTTTAAATTATTAGTATTTTATTAAAAGTTGGAATCCAGGAAGAGGAAAATGAGAGAGAAAAAAAATAATATTTTATATAAATAGAGTTATAATTTTTCAAACTTGTAAAAAGGTATTTTGATCTTTATGATTTTTTGAGTTTATTCCTCAAACTATGGAATAGCTAATACCATAGGGGAGGATGGTATTAACTATTCCTTAATTTTAAAGGATTTTGAAGAATAGACATTCCATAGGAATGGCTATTCCTTGGACTATTTCTCAACCAAATAAATGAATCAAAATTCCTTGAGAATAAAGAAGGAATGGTTTAGCAATTCCACCAACCAAACATGCTAATAGTTATTTTCTTTTTGTTAAAAATAGGAAAGGGAAGGGAAATTGGCTTGGAAATTGAAGGAAGCTACATATACTTTTGTGGCCTATATCTTTATATATAAAAAAAACATCAATGAAGAAGAATTGGAAATCAAGCAAAGGATTTGCATACAAACAATCAACGGCGACTTGTCTAGGCAACGACTATGGAAGGAACAAGGAAACGGGTCTGCCATTGTTAACATGTTGATGTTGGAAATGTTTATGAACGTCCTTTTCTTTCCTGAAGCCCCATCTGTGTAATCAAAGAGTATAATAATAAAATTTCATAAGACTATAAACAATTAACATAAAATGGTTCGCCCATTGTAGAAGGAATACATATGTCAGCACTTTTCGTAGAAAGGGTAAATTCGTTTTCTTTTTTTCTTTTTTAATTTGGATAGTTGAAGTAATTTATTCATTTCTTCAAAGAAAAAAAAAACATTTTATGTAATTTTCATTCTTATTATAACAATAATTCCATATTTAATTTATGAATACAACACTGTACGTGAAGAAACTAGGAAAGACACTACTTTAACATAAAGGGGGTTCATTCGGTCAAAAGAAATGGTGGCCTAGTTTCTTCATCCAAAGAAGCCCAATTGTTAAAGTCGACCCAATGGCTAGAGCCCAGACCATATTATTTTGTTCTTCATTGGGCCAATTTCTGGGCCTCTTCTCTATAGACCTTACCTGGATGATATTTGTAATTGGTAGACCTGTTGTAAGGCCATTACCGATGGGCCCAATGGATTACTAGTTATGGGTCAATGGTGACCCATATGTTTTTTGAAAAGCATTCATGAGATTGCATTAAAGGGGGTGAATGGAGCCTCCCCTTTTCAAAGTACAAAACAGGATACAAAATGGAGTTCAAAAAGAATTGGTTGGCATTCCCATTTTCTACCAACGGGTATCCCTCCCCAACATTTCCACTTAATCCTCCTTTCCACAGAGTCTCAAAAAACCCCTGTAGCAAAAGCAAAATGGACCTACAAAAACGACGGTCCCCCTGAACCAAACAATTTCTCCCACTCCCCTGTAAATAAGAAACTGACGCTAATAATATTAACCAACCTAAAGTCAAAAACATCACAGGGCAGGAGTTTCAGGATCCCCAGTAGATGCAGACTGGGCATGCCTTCCTCACAGCTTAATTATCTCCACAACAGCAAGGAAACATACCTAATTGAAGCCGGTAGCGTCAGGATCTCTTCTAGGGGAATATTTCATTTGTAATTTTTTTTATTATAATTATATATTAATTCCATCATTTGTAAGTGTAAGCTTTTATAAAAATTTTTAATGAATCTCAAACAATTCGTGATTGTAATTGATCAATTTTAAAATATATATTCCCGTTTAGTTGTTAATTTCAATGTACGGGATTATATATTTCTAAAAACCATTTCTAAAAATCATAGTCAAAAGTTTTATTATATATTTGGGGGGCATTACTGGATACATGCTCAAATAATTGTATGGTAAGAATCCAATTATGAAGAGAGTTGTGGCTTGAATAGGTTTTGCTTATAGTTCATTCAAGCTTTGGGATATGCATCTGATGTCCCAAGGCAACATTCCAGGCAGAAAAATCTTGAGTTGACTACACCCCCAGAAAGGAGCTCTCCAACAGACAAATAAGAAGGGGGAATTTGACATTTGGTTTAGTGTTGAAATTCTGGATGGAAGATGTTGGAATTTGGGAATTGATAAGGTGTGGCTAATTCATGAATCATGGTCTCTTTTTGCTATAATAGATGAAGGTCTCACAAAAAGGACCAATCACCCTATAAACCACGCTATCTTGATATGCATATGGTTTTGGCCATTATTTTTTCAAAGTCACTTTCAATAAATTATTCGGGTAATTAATGATCATCTTCTTGTGTAGCACTAGAGGCTGTTCAGTGCTTGCAGAGACTTGTCGGTGCAAATGAGAGAGATGTATTCAGCATGTGCCTGATAATTAATAAGGAAAACAAACCAAAGCACAAAATAAAAAAAAAAAAAAAGAAGAAAGAAAGAGTGAAATATACAAGAGTAGTTGTTGTATTGTTGCTTTATAGGGCTAGTGGCATTTTTCTTCGACCCTTTAATCATTCTCCTTCCAATTTAGTGACTGAATAATAGCCATGATTATTTGCTTTAGCAAGTTTTAGTTGTATTAGACAGAAGCCCTTTGCTGCATCAAGTTGGAACTAGGATTACAAAATAATGCGTGGTGATCAACCCTCTCTTTACCAACTATGGTCCTTTCATGATGGAACAATAAACAACTGTAGATTGAACCCATTTCTCAATCACTAAAAATTCATCAAAATTGTATCTCTTTTTTGCCTTTTCTTTCTTTGCTTTTGTAGACCTGTTTTCCATTTGTCCAAGCATAAAATAATCCTCCATGTGAGGCCACTTTTACCTTTACTGTTGGCATGACTAGGTTTGCTTATGGGACATGACCTTTTAGATGAGAAACTGAGAATGGCGGATTGTAGGGTTT